CATGTACCATCCTCTCAGCCCAGAATGCCCTCCTCTGGGCGGAAAGACCCCACTCATTGTCCAACACTCCTCGTTTGTCCCCACCCAGATGAACTCTGTCAGCTGTTTCTGCACCCCTCATTCAAGTCGGGACAAAGCACTTCACGCTCCACGACAGAAAGATAGCTGCCATCCTTATTGCACGGAGGCCTTCTCCAGGAAAGACATGAGGCCTCATCCACTTTGTAACCTTTTGGTAGAGGGTGAAACCACCTCAATTCCCTTTTGGGAAATAGGGCGAGGTGTCAACCAGTGAAGCATCCATCCACCCACCCACCCATCCTTCCGCACTCCTGCCTGCCCAGTGTGGCGCCCAGGGCTTGGCGTATAGGAAGTGCTCAACAAGCGTACGCAGAACACTGAACGACTAGAAGAAAATGGAAAACAGTATTCTTACCAGATTTCTTTTTTCCGATGTGCTCCCTGTGTAGGGAAGAAACGGGGTGGGAAAGAGGAGTCAGGAGCTGTAGTGTATCGGCAGGAATTATTTTGCTACACGCTGAGATTCTCAATCCCACAACACCCAAGAGACTCCCATGGGCTCACACTCTACAAAGGATAGAATCCTCTTTATTTGCTAGCGTATCCCGGGACAGCTGTCCCCACTCTGCTCAAAGCACGTCTTTTTAAAGATCTGGGTTTCTAATCTCCAGGTGATCGTGCTTGCAGAGAGGATGGGGGAGCAGATTCCATGGTAGGAACCAGGAGTAGCCTGTGTCTGTGGGGAGAGGCGGCTGGGCTGAGTGGGGTGTCCCCTGGCCTGATGTGACCTCAGTGGAGTTGACATATCAACCTCAGTATGTGGAAGGACGAGGGTGATGGTAGGTTGGCCTCACGCATGGTTCTGAAGTCACTGAACTGGGTCAGGTGGAGTGCCAGCCCCGGGCTGACCCCTGAGCTGGATCCTCACAACTACTCTCTGAGGGTTCCTGCATTTCAGATGGGGAAACCAAGGCCCAGAAAGGTCAGTGTCTTGTCCGGTATGTTCAGCGGGTGCCCACTCTTTAGCCCGGTGGGACTGTCTGATGGGTGCAGTCCTCCTCTTGGGTGCTTCTACGTACAGCATCACCTCCCACAGGTGTCGCACAGGCCTGGCTGGTGAGTGGAACCTCGGATGTGCCATGCCCAAGACAGGTGTTGTCTATGGTGCTCACCATGTCCCTGGCACATGCAGGCCCTCCCGGGGGCAGCCCCAGATATAGATCTCCTGGTCTGCACTCTTTCCACCAGCCCCAGCCAGCCAGCACGTGGGGAAAGTACAGTTGCAACCACTACAGAGGACGCCAGCGAGGGTGACCAAGCCAGCTCTCCACCATCCCAACTTCCCAGCTCCCTGGAGAGCTGGCTCTCAGCCTGTTTCCCCGAGAGCCTTCCTTCCTGAATGGAGAACGCACGCACGCACGATTCTAAAGTGCAGCAGCTGGGCTGGCTCTCACCCACCCTCTTACATTGATAATAAGGTCTGAGGTTGGCTCAGAGGACAGGGACCTATTCTCACATTAGGGCCATCTTACCAAAGAGGAAACTGAGGCTCAAGCAAGCAACATTCACGCTTAACAGTGGCCAAGCAACTCTTGTCGCCGAGGGTGTGTATCAAGCTGGGCAACTCAGTCAACTGTTGAGAGGGAGAAGCCGGAGTAAAGGCAGGTCCGGGCGGGTGTTCAGAGAGGGAAAACACCAAGAGTTTCTGTGCCCCTGGCAGATTCTTGGGAGTTTTTCCTTATGCCAGCCACTCAGTCTTCATCACAACCCCAAAGGGTGTCGCGACTTCCATTTTACAGCAGAGAAACACCCGAGGCCCAGAGGCGAAGTCAGAAGAGAGGCTACCAAAGTCGCTGAGATTTGAACCTGGGTGTGCCGGATTCCAAGCCAGGGTGCAACTGAGCCAAGTCGGACTTCATGAAGCGACGCCACGGGAGCTTCAGGTCTGGGCCCGGCAGACCTGGGAACACTTATCTCCGTCTTTCTGAGAGGGAGAGCCTGGGTGAGCCTCAGCTTCTACGTCTGTAAAACGGGTACGCATAACCCTTCTCCACAGTATTGTGACAGAATGCCGTGGAAAGAGGAGCCTGTAAGCTTTACAAGTATATAACTTTTTAAGTTTCAGCATATGTATTTTCTGATTTATGCCGGCTAGAATTAAAATAGGAGCCAGGGGCTACAGGCAATTTAATTCTAAAAACCCAGGAGAACTGTCGGCAGAGGTGCTCGGAGAATATTTCACCATGTGTTAGAAGATTAAAATGGGAAGGTTTGCCGGACATAAAAACTGAGTACAAGAACCGAAACATTCACCAGGAAGCACTGAGATCCAGTTCTGTCAGACTTCTACCCTTTCTGTAACTTTCCTGTTCTTACATTCCTTAAACTATGTTCCCGGCTGGCGTGGTTGGCAAGGCATTCCCTTGGGACGTGCTGATCTCAAAACATTCCGTCGCATCCATATTCAAGCTCTGCTTTAATTCCACAGCCACACTGCTGCGTGCTGGCAAGGAGAAGCTGGTTTGTCACACGTAGGACGTGGCACTTATCAGGAGGACTTTATTGCTGGAAGTTAAGTTCACGCATCTCTGTGGTAGTTAAACCGCGAGTCCAGAAGGACCATCCCATTGCACCTGACGTCGCCACTGGATTCTCTCGCTGGATGTGTGCAGCTAAGCGATCTGATGTCACCTGCTCGTCAGAAAGCACCCACACCCTTCCCCTTGGTGTTCTCTTCCAAAGACTTCTACAGCCTTCAACCCGCACCTTTTAGTCTTCACAAAGTGCCCAGCACGAGCCCCCGTCGGCTGTAATTATTTAACAAATGCAAGCCTTCCTCATTCCTGCCATTTAGGGCAAAGAGTTCAGTGCAGCGCGTAGAGAGCAGTTCACGCTTCTCTGCGGGTGGCTGACACTCTTAGGCCAAAGGGGTCCCAAGCACCGCGGGCTCTTGCTTCTGTAAGAGCTCATGGGCTGGACTCCTCCTTCTCCTACTGCGATTCCTGTATTAGCCAGAACCCTTCTTTCTACAAGGATGCGGCTTTCTCCAAAAAGGGCTTTGGAAAGGTGACTTGTGAGAGGAGCGAGTTTTGTTAGAGTGGTGACAACCTCCGGAGTGGTTAATGGTGATGGCTGAACAGAACATGAGCCGCATAACTAATGCCGCTGCACATAGGAGGATCACTGAAAGGGCATATGATGTACTGCCTACATATATATACACCCCAATTTTAAAAAGGCAGTGTATGTCAGTGTTTCCTGTGGCAGTTCCTGGCGTGTAAGGCAGGCAGCGTTTGCGTCTCATGTGATGTGCATGTGTGGCTGGGGTCTCTGGACATGTCCAGACAAGGTTCTTAGCTGGTGCTGGCCGCTGCAGGGTACTTTGGGCGTGGGGTGGCCTGCAGTGGAAGCTTTGGATCAGCCTTGAAGGCTGGCTGACCCGGATCTAATGCCAGCCCATCACTCACTAGCGAGGAGACTCTGAGCATGTCCCAGCCTCTCACACCGTTGTCCACGTCTCCAGGGCTTCCGGTCTGCTCAGCTCCCACACACTGACCCTCAGCCGGGAGCTCACCCACAACTCAGGAACCTAAGTGCCCGCTTCCCAGACAGGGAGGCTGGTGAAAGGCCCAGCAGCCAGGCGCTCATTTGACCGTGACTGCCACTCGTTCTTCCTGGGGCCGGCTGCATCGGCGGGAGGGAAAGCTGAGGGGAACGCTCTGGGGACATCCGCAAACCAACTTACTCTTTGGGGGGGTTCAGGTCCTCAGGTCTTGTCTCAAAGAACTGCAGCACCTCATCACACTGAGAGATATAGGGGGGCAGCTGGATCAGGGCCTGCAGAAGAAACACAGGTGAGGCCTGAGGAAGGAGTATGTGTGTGTGTTGGGGGGTGGGAGGGTGGTCAAGGGTGCTGTCCGCCAGTGACTCTGGAACCTGAGGGTACATTAAAATCACCCAAGGCACGTGTTACGATACAGAGGGCTGTGCCACACCTTATTGTTGAGGGCCTGAGAATGTGCCTTTCTTACAGTTGCCAGTGCCACCCAGCTGACCGGGCCTGGATGCCCCACCACCACACCACGGAAAATGTATGTACGTGCATGACAGGTCAGTATTTGGGCAAGTAATAGTATGATTGCAAACAAGATCAGACCATATTGTACATGCCATTTGATAACAATAATTTCACTTAAACTGTGAATGTTACGTCATGTCTCCTCTCCTACAGAGACTCGGAGGCTCTGGGTAGAGGCAGTGCAGTGCTCAGCTGCACCCAGGTGTGAAGAGGGTTGTTTTACGGTTTGCGTGAGTGAGGGACTGCGGCAGGGATCCCTCACGTGCTCAGGTGACTTAGTCACCACTGCTCCTCAGGTGAGCCTGGGGGACCGGGCAGTCTCCGCCAGTGGGCTGGGTGAGGGCACAGAGAGGTGCTACACATCCGTGGTGCAGGCTCTTCACGGGCTGCAGATGTGAGCTGAGCTCCACTCACATTTCATTTCAAAGACCAGTGCAGGGTGGGGTGGGGGTGGCACACACAGACTGTCACAGCTGGGTGACGGAGCATGCATGCTATGAGGAGGGGTGGACATGGCTCTTTCCACTGGCCTCACTCCAAGGGTCTCTCACCCGCCTCCTCCCGACACAGAGGCTGGTGTGAAAAGACGTGCTTGACATCTGATGTGCAACAAGTCCTTAAACTCTCTCCACCTGCCCAGGGAGGGCTGCGCAAGGAGGGACAAAGGGAGAGGCCGATGGTGGTCTCCACGGCAGACCCCTCCCACAGGGCTGCAGGGACATTCAACCCTATGTGAATAATGAATAATCATCGTGAAACCTACACTCCAGAAATGTTTCCATTTCAGCGCGTACAATTCGGTGATATTATGTGCATTTTCCCCGGTGTGCCCTGGGGTCGTCACCCACCAGCTGCTCGGTGGGAGAGAGGTGGCTGTCTGCAGCCTTATAGAGTTATCTAGAAACACTGTGCGCAGTGCTGCTCTGAGTTGGAGTCCAGGCAGCAGCGCCCCACAAGAACATGCTGTACCATCATTAACTACCACTCCGTACCCCTTAAGCAGCAGCCCCCACCCCACCATTTCCTGTCCTACCTTACCCCCTTGTTCACCGCCTTCGATTCCCACTCTTAAAGCCCTGGTGGCATAGTGGTTATGCGCTGGGCTGCTAACCACAAGGTCAGTGATTCAAAACCTCCAGCTGCTCAGAGGGACAAAGAAGAGACGTCTACTCTTGTGAAAAGTTAATAGCTTTGGAAACCCACAGGGTCAGTTCTACTCTGTCCTACAGGGTGCTAGGAGTCAAAGCCAGCCCTGGTAGCTACCGATCAACTGCCGGATTTTCGAGACCAGGTCTGGGTGGAAGTCAGATTCCCCACGGTCCAACCCAGCCTCCAGGCTGACATGAGGAAAGACCACAGGAGCTGCGTACACATGCGTTTCTAGGGGACCTTCTCTGGCCCCAAGCCGAGACAGTGCCTCCTCGGCCACTGGCCACTCTCTGTCCATTGAGGAGAAGAATGCTGACCTAAAGGGACCGCGATGTATGCTTCAACTGAGATTTCTCTCTTTAAACTTTACTTTTGGTTGTTGAGAATACAGACACGCAGCTGAGTGCACACACTCAGCCATCTGGAAGACATTGTTGACATTCAAGTGCTCCACCCATTCTCAACCTCCTTTCCTGAATAGTAAGCTCTTCCCTTAACCTAAATTCACTGCCCCCAAGGGTCCTATTGAACCTTCCCAGGGGCTGTCACTTTGATCCCACACGGTTCTTGACAGAGCAGTGCTCAGGGCAGACATTGTTTACCAGTTAAGCTCAACTACAGTTTGGTTGAAAGCCGGCTTCAAGGTCATTGATTTTCCATTGGCCTCTGACTGGCTCCTACTCCGAGTGGGGAGAGGGCCCCGCAGCAGCAGCAGCAGCAGCGGGAATGTCTTTCCCCACCTCGCCCCCCTGCTCTCACTCCTCTCTCTGGTCTGGAGGTTTGGGTGCACACTCTCCTGCCCTGAGAGTCCCAGGGCCTCGCTCTCCTCTGCAGTGCCGGCAGCTGAAACCACATAATGAAGGAGCCGATGATACACGCTGAGAGATGGTGCAAGGCTGGCCGCCTCGTGAGCCAACGTCTGTGCTTTCCCCCAGACTGCCGATGATACACGCTGAGAGATGGTGCAAGGCTGGCCGCCTCGTGAGCCAACGTCTGTGCTTTCCCCCAGACTGCAACCACAGCAGTGTGGGTCAGCACTTGATGGCTTCCACGGGTTTGTCTGCACCACTTCCTGTCACCCCGAGAGGGCTGGCCCATTTCAGAGAGGGGGAAATGGAAGTTCGGGTGAAGGGGCTCAGACTTTCGAGCACAGGACTCTAGGCTCCAACTCCTTCTATGAAAGACTCCCTATGACCACTGATGATCCTTGGTGTGCCTTGGCACCTAGCTCCTCCCTGGGTGCGCCTCACCCTATTCTACTCTCTTCACAACTCAGAAGTGGTCAGGTTGCAGACCCCACTTGGTACAGCTCCACGCATGGCCTCTTTAACAACAAAAAACCCGACTTCTAACACGGTTGTATTTACAGGCACAGGGGTTCAGATTTCAATGCATATTTTTTGGGGGGTAACACTGCAATCCATAAAACCTCTTCAGAGTGTCTTGGGAGCACTGGGTGGATGAGAGCACCTGAGCCACGGAGGGGTCATCTGTCTGTCTGCAAGGGGGTCCCCACAGACTCGCTGCTAACAGGACCAGCAAGGGGCGCGACAATGGAAACCTTCCGACGATGCCAAGTTCCCTTTTTGGTTTTGAGCTATTCCTAGGAAGTGGATGCCACGCCAAACCCCAGCCCATAAAATAAAGCTGAGCCACTGCTGAAGGGCAGCAACGCATGCCTTGATGTGCGCCCTTTCACCCCCGATGGGTGGGCTAATCGTCCGGAGATGACCGGGTGCAAAGAAACGCTCCAGAACTGTCCTGTGTTTGGGCAGCGGGACAGAAAGCCCTAGTTCCAGCAAAGCTCAGTTCTGCTCCAGAGCGAATACCGGCTCTTTGCACAGATGTGGCTGGTGGACGCTGGGACAGAGAAGCGGGAATAAGTCCTGCCAGCTGCAGGTCATGGGTCACAAAGAACCAGCCCCTCACCTGGCTTTGTCATTGCCCAGCGGTGGGACTCTAGTCAGTTCCTAGAGCCTCTCTGAGCCTGTTTCCTCATCTGTAAACTAAACGAATCACACCCATCTTGGAGGAAGCGGCTATGAAGACGTATGGTACGTACTCAGAAAACCAAACTCACGGTCACTGAGTCGCCGACTCACAGAGCCTTCAGGGCAGGGCAGAACTGCCCCTGTGAGTTCTGACACTGGACTAGAGTAGCCCCATCTTTACAGGGGTAGAAAGCCTGACGTGTCTCCCGAGGAGCGGCAGGTGGTCTTGAACTACTGACCTTTCGATGGCAGTTCAATGCATAGCCACTATGCCACCAGGGCTCCCTCTGGTTCATACTTGCTGCTTGAAAAATGCTTAAGTTAGCTTCCTTGGTCTCTGCACTGTTGGCTGGTGCGAGTTCCTGCTGCGTCGGCTACAATTCATGGTGCTCTTTCAAAACCAAACTCATTGCCATCGAGTCAATGCTGACTCATAAGGACCCCCTGTGGGTTTCTGGGACTGCCACTGTTTGCGGGAGCAGAAGCCCAGTCTTTTCAGCTGCTGGTGGTTTCGCAGTGTCCACTACGCAGATTGCAGCCCAACACGTAACCACTGCACCTCCAGGGCTGCTTCACGGTGGTCTTCATGTAACAGAATGAAATGCCGCCCAGTCCGGCGCCACCTCCGTGTCCACTGATTTGTTCGAGTCCACCTTTGTGACTTTGGTGTCAATCCATTTCATTAAGCCTTTCCCTCGTGTTTGTTGACCTTCTACTGAACACAATGTCCTTTTCTAGGGACTGTCTTTTCTAATGACATTTCCAAGTCGGTTGGTTTTGCCGTCCTTAATTCTAAGGAACTTCTGGTTGGACTTCTGATGTGGTGGTTCCAAAGGGGCAGCAAGTCCAGTTCCTGGCGAAGGACATCATGTTGGTAAAGTGAGGGGCAGGGAACAAGAGGAAAGCCCTCGACGAGATGGACTGACTCAGTGGCTGCAACAATGGGCTCAGGCTCAGGAACCATTGGGAGGCTGGCCCAGGACTGGGCAGCGTTTCCTTTTGCTGTGCACGGGGTTGCTATGGGTCGGAACCGACTCGATGGCACCTCACCACAACAAACAACAACAAGGATAGCTAGTGCCCAGTCTAAGAACTAAGTAGCAATGTCTTACCGTGTAAGGAAGCGTGGGTTTTCTCAGTTCTCTTCCAATCCTCTCTAACTTCAAAAGAACACTGCAGCCAGGAGTTGCTATGTATTTAGCACCACTCTTGACCTTGTTAATTCTACCCAAGAGCAGAACTCTACAGAACTGGGACTAGGCAACAACATCTCGCTAGATTTTAACACTTGTTTTGTCATGCTCATTTTTATTCTTTTTTCCTTTTATGGCAGGTCATACCAGTCTTCATTCTGAGAGGTAGTATAAGCTCAAGAACCAATGGTCTTGAAGGAGGAAGTGTAAGCTGCACTGAAGGCATTAGGCAAGAAGCAAGCTCTGGGAATTGACAGAGTATCAACTGAAATGTTTCAACAAGCCGATGACGCACTGGCCACACTCACCTAGGCCAAGAAATCTGGAAGAGAGCTATTTGGCCAAATGATAGGAAGAGAACCACACTTAAACTAATTCCGCAGAAAGGTGACCCAACAGAGTTTTCAAACTACAGAACAACATCAA